GCTGTACGACGGCTTGCGACCACCGCGAGTGCAAAATCCGATGTTGGCATCGTTCCAGTGATCGTACGTAGTGATAGCGCTGGACTCAGAAATGGGGCCGATGTCGTAGAAAGGGGCGAAAGCCTCGCGTCCTGTTTCGTTCGTGCCTTTACGAAGTAATCCAGTGACGAGGATAGAAGGCTCGTTGAGCGGCTCCCCACTAGAGGTCAGTACAAGGTACACTCGCTGTTGGGGCGTAAGAGGGAGGTCTTCAACCGCTTGCGCAACCTGCTCGAGCTTGTCGGGTGAAAAGAAAAGGTTGTTGATGTATGCTGTGCGATCCTCTTTAGTGGCAGGCGTTGCCTTGACGGTTGCTGAAACGACGATTCCGAAATTGGGTCCTGCTCCCCGAAGTGCCCAGAACAGTTCCGGATGAGACGTGGCTGACGCGGTAAGTATTTCGCCTGAGGCAATGATCACTCGCATGGAGATGATGTTGTCGACTCCGAATCCGACCTCGCCCATGAGATTACCATAACCGCCACCGAGCATCGCACCTAGAGCGCCAACGCAGTTACAGTTTCCGGTAATGATCAATGCGCCTGCAGCATTCGCTGCAGCAATCGTGTCTCCGATGCTTGCACCGCCACCGATAGTGGCGGTCTTCTTGTCTGCAGCGACAACGACTTTGTTGAGATTGGCAAGGTCGATCAGGACACCCCATTTCCCCAAGTTGAAAGTCTTTCCCCATCCGATGCCGCCATTCTGTGCAAGGAACGGTATCCCAGTTTTCGTACAGTATTTGACCTTTTCGTTGGATTAGCATCGACGATCCGTTGTACCGGCAATTTGGTCGAGGCTGAACTTACTATACTTGCTACATCCTTTTCGGTTTTCACCCTGACGACCACAGATGGAAGGGGAGCATTGTAGTCACTCCATCGTGCTCGAGCCTCAACGTTGACCGAAGATGGTGACGAAACCAAAGTCTTCAGGTCCTTGGCGACCGTCTGTCGTACAGCAAGTGCAGAAACAGCCACTGCAAAAGAAACCAGTAGTGACAAGACCCTCATGTTTGCGGTACCGAGCGAATAGGTAACGGCCCAACGGGCTTTTTAATTGACATCAAACTTCCTCGGCCACCTGCATGGTGGCAGAGAATGCCCGGACCCCAACTTGTCAAGTGTGTAGGGCGAGTGATTTGTCGTCCCAGTAGACAGCTCTAGTCGACAAACAGGATGCAACCAGCGTCCCTGCATACTAAACCCGCGCTGGGTTAGGTATAGTCACCGAAGCGGTTATCTGCCGTGCTCGTTCGCCATCGACCCGGTTACCGCGGGCGCAGCCGCATTCGGTTATATGTCCCCCGACGGCCCCATACGCGTCGGCGCTCATCGGACCCAAGACCCGTGCGTTACCCCAAGGTGCACCAACACAATGCTTCCATGCATGACCTCCGCAAGAATTAGCGACCTATGTCGAGAGCATGACGTTGGTTGTGTTCCTTGGGCGGCTCCGTCCTTGTGCACGTGGGTTAGATTCCGGGTGGTAGCAAACCACCTATCGAAAGATTCGGAAGGTGACAGCGCCGCATATACAGGGTCTTCGTGGTGTGCTGTCGGCGGCATGCAAGATATATTTCGCCGATGGACTTGGCATTCCGCAGTGGTATGGATAAGAGACCGAGAGGATTGCCTAGGTATTTCGCGAGAAGGATGCGAATCCAAGCAAAGTAAAACATATATTTCGCCGAGTAGCCCTGGATGCTACCTTGAGCAACCTGTTCTGAGATATATACCGAGCGGAGTATCGTAGGATTCGCGGTTCAATATGCTAATACCGGCGCTTCTTGTTTGCACCGAGGTGAACATTCATCCCAATGTCTGGTGAATCGTGATTTCCTTTGTGATACCGCGCTTGCCTAGCGTTGAGGCGTCTTCGGGAGGCGTAGAAGGAGCTTCAGACCGCGCCGTCAGCTCTGCGTAGCATTAGTGGAGCACTTTACGGGACGCCATGCATTACGTACCGATCTCGTCAATCTCCTGGTATGGCTTGCGTACCAACTTGCCGCCAAACGTAGTACTTTTCGTGGTGCCGTTCAGCGCGAATGAGCCAAAACCGTGACCTGATGATCCGTATCCGTAGCTCGAACCAGTTTGTGTTGCTTCGCGGGGGTAGAAGTAAAACCAAATGGGCCGGAGCGTGGGCAAACAGGCGCAAACAACACCCAAAGATAGTTCAATGTTGGTCCAAAAGAACACCGGTGCTGTGTAATAAATGACGTCGTCGGGATGCTTCAGGTATTCGCCGGCGATCGAGTAAGTCGCCACAACCCGTGTGATGCTGACAGCACATACTCTGTACGACTCAGTTGTCTTGAACACAATGACGTACGAGACGAAATAAGACTTACGCGGCTCCAAGTGAAAGCATTACGATTACAGCTAGCTTCTTCTTGGCCTCCATTCTGACGCTCAAAACCATCGGGATAGGGAGGATAAGGATGACAATGTCTGCGAAGACACCCGTATACTGGTAAGATGGTCAGCCTGGAATCGACGTCGTCATGCTGGGTGAAAGACAGTAGCTTACAAGTAGGGCCAAGAACATTGGCACGGTTTCGACACAGCTATTCCCATAGTACGGTTCAATAAATACTGTTATGGGGTAACAAGTGAATAGATGCGAGAATGTGAAGCTGACGGTCCAGCATACGACATATGCAAGCACGCAGTATACGACGATGCGAAACTTTCGTACGTCAAAGATGTTCTTGTATAACACCAAAATCGACGATTTGACAAGACCTAGTCCGATAACGGAGATCATGTTTAGAGCAAACTTCGTCTAGAGAAGTCAGCAATTGCACTGCTATCAGCAGCTGAGTGTACTTACCTGCTCAAAGAATATCAATCCGGGATCGTCCATGGTGGGCTGGCCTTTTTCATCCAGTGGTTGGTGAGACCCCAAGTAGCCGTGTATCGCAGCTATCAATCGGCGTAAGTTTGCAAAATGCCTTCCAATCGAAACACTTACTAGCTAACTGTAAGGAGCAGCAAGCCATAGATACAGCCTATCGGTGCTCAGTCAGAGGACGAAATTCGTACTGAACCGCTCAAACTTCTCTTACCAAAGCGGCAACCGTGAGAAAGTCGTCCCAACCCACGCGCTTAGCGATCCTTTTTGCCCATAAACGCAAACAAACGAAGACAAATGGCAGTACCATGAAAGCCACGGCCAGGGCGACCATCATACTTTTGGAGTAGTTGTGATACATTTTGACTGTCGCTCCAGAGTAATGTTGGTACAAAAGACTCGCAAATAACCGGACGGTCAACAAATACTTCGCATTGATGCAGACAGGCGAAATATAGGCTGCACCAAGCAACATTGAGCCTCAGGTCCTCTGTTCTCATTTGGCCGACATATCGACAGCGTACCACATCCTAGGGACCCCATGGCTTGCTCGTCACATGTAACCTGCGACCCAACCATAGCCATCCTTTGAGCTTGGCAGGTCTCCAGTAAACGCCCTGTAGGTATTACAGCACCGAGGGTGCCACGCTTGGTCTGTCCCGAGACTGACTAGGATGAAGTAAGGCTGAGAGATTGCAATCACACATCTCTTGAGTCTAAGAATCACCCGAAAGCCCCCAGGACTCTGACATCCCAGTGCTATGAGCATCTTCGCACTGGTCGGACCAACGTAGCTTTTGACCTGCAGGTCGGTGCGTCCTGATACGTCAATTTGGAATATGCGGTGCCCACGGGTTCAGCTGAAATTTGTGCTCCTGGCATGCCACCATGTTGAAGACAAACTCACATACGATGGATGCCCAGCTATCAACTCCAAGGCCGTCCGAAGTATCTGGCTATCCAAGTAGTAAACCGGTAGACCGGCAAACCTGTGTTGTTGTTCTCATGAAGCCGAGAGCCGTGGGGGTGTAGCTGGGGTGTTCCAGACAGGGGTTCGCCGCTCGGGTGAACCTTTCAGGACGGCAGAAGCCGCGCCGCGAAGCCACGGGATGTGCAATGACCCGCTATTATAAGACAGCCTCGGCCAGAACCCATGCGAACTAAAGCTGCGCTGATTTCTCATCTTTCGGTCCATGCGACGTTCTACAGACGCCAGTCGTAAAGAGATCGTAGGTCCTGGACGCTCTTACGGCTTCGTCGCCTCAGAATAGGTATATTGCACAGCATCGCGTGCAGTGCTTATTGCTCTTCGATGTGCTCTTCGAATTTGCTTCTGCTGCTTCGAGTCATCGATGTCGTCGGAGGCTTACTTCCGATAGTCGTGCATGCGAGTCTTATCACGTAGGATCTGGTCCAAAATCACGGACACCGAGGTGTGGCCGCTGTATAAACTCGCCTACAAGAATGAAATATTAAATGGTACCGTCTTCGACAACATGCGTGAAGGCCCTAGTGCGGAACGGGACTGATACTGAGTTTGACGTTCGCAAGCTTTTTTGAATGACCGGAACGATATCTCTGCCGTGTTTGGTCAACTTCCCGTGCGCCTGTCGTGGCCCATTGACGCGTTCTGAGAAGCCAGCTCAGTCAGTCCTAGGACGATCGCACGGCGTCTGCGTGTCGACATGTTGTACCATCTCTCAAACAGCACTAACTTTGGCGTAGGAAGCGATGGTGACACCTGGTTGCTTCTTCGTGATCAATGGTGTATGACGCGTACTGAGGAACGGTGGAAATGTATGCGTCACCCGGTTGGCCCCAGCATCGTCGCTGACAATGTGTTCTATGCATGGCTCGCAAAACCGTGGGGTTCCTGAAACTGACAGCGGTAGGCCATCCATTTGGGTGTGGAGGAGTTGCTGAGGCTTGCAGTGGTTTTTTGGGAGTTCTTAGGCCATTTGGCCCAAACAAGGTGATTTAGCGCGGGCATTACGTCATTGTAATCAATCCACGATAATGCCAGCTAACACAACTTCCATTTGCAGACGCTTCTCAGTGCACATGCGAATCGCTCTAGATCGTACTGTATTCTCTTGTTCTGATGCTTAAGCCCACGAAAAGTGTTCCATGTGCAGATACACATCCCGTTTCCCATCCTTCATGCCACCGATCTGCGCACGAGCAACAGCGTTCGACACATCGCTCTGCATACTCAATGGGCCGCATACCAGTACAGACGTACTTCCACTTCCGTAATCTGCTGCGTCGGAGATGATAGCTGGAAGGTCCGGTCGTTGCGATACATGCTTCGGGGTGAGCGCAATCTGGATGGTGTTTGATGCGGCTTCCTCTGAGCGACGTACATCTGTCGACAACGCTTTCGTCCTTGAGCCAGCACTCGCATTGAAAACTTCGGACTTCTCTTCTAACTCGCTCGGGCTTTCCATGGAACTATCGTGCTCCTCCTCACCGGTGTAGTAGATGTCCACGCTCAATTCGTCACAGCGACATCCGCTTAGCTTGTTCGCTACTAGCTCCAAGACGGCCTGCTCAAACCAATTCCTGGTCAGCGAATCTCTTGTCGCTAGTATCACTTTCATCGCAGGTTTCCTGTTGACATCTTCGTCGCCGTCGCGGTGCGGGTCTGCTGCGCTCACTGCAGCCTGATGCTCATCCTGCCGCAGGAACGCTTCAATTAGCGGCAAAAGCCAGCCAGCACCAGATCCACCAGCAATAGCCACGATACTTTGGCTTGCCGCAACTCTTCTCATGTCTATGCCACTATAAGGGCCATCGAGTAACACCTTTAGGCTTGACTTAGGATGTTGCTGAGCGTGCCTCGCCAAGCGTGCTGTAAAACCTCCCTGCGGTCGAATATAGAAGACAAGTTCGTTCGTACGACAGCGAGTTGCTCCGGGTAGAGAGCATGCTGTAAAAGGATGTGTTGTCATTCCGTGTACACCAAGGCCAAAGACTCTGATGAAATAATGTTGACCCGCTTTCCAAACACCGTTCATCGGAATCGCAATCTTGACAAAGTCGTTTGATACTTTGCTGATCTCAGCCGTTTTGATGCCGTACTGAAAGAACATGCGCATGTGGCTGTGAAGCCAACACAATGTATATATGACGCCTGTTGCGATGAAATAATCCCAGGACGACAGCCGAAAGTCGCAGTGGAGAAAGAAAAACAAGACGAACACCAGGGCCGCGATGAAATGAGTTACTTTGAAGAACTCATAGCTGACGTTCCGAAGGTAGGAGTTGGAAGCGAGTGTCAGCCAGGCCTGGACGATCATCAGCTTTATTCTAGGCATAACCTACATTCCCCACGGGAGGAAGACGGGTTCAGTCACGAACCTGCGCAATGAGAGCGACTACACCGGTCCAATAGCATACGTCCGTATGCCACTCGCTCCCCATAGAGCCTTTCCATACATTGAACACAACGAAGGGGAATGTATGTATCAAAGCAAGCACAAAGCATGCATAGCTGATCCACCGATGGAACAACTGCAGCTTCTCATGCGATACTCCCGTCAACATTGTAATCATATTACTTTTCGTCGACGTCGCCATAATAAAGGGTAGGCAAGCGAGCGACATCCATCCTGTTCGTGTAGCGATCGGTGGTGAGCCTCCGAACGAGATCGGGGGGCTCTTCTGGTTGGGCCAATAGTACGGTCGCGGACCGAGTGTCATACAGACGAAGAAGACTGTGCCTATCGCCCCAAGTATGAGAATGCCGAGTGGTGCGGAGTTCCAGTTCAAAGCCCGGATGCGATATGAGCGGTAGGCGAGGTAGCGAAAGATGGCAAGCAGTTGTCGCACAGCCTTGATCTTTGGGGGAGATTTTCGTACGAGCTTCGAGGTGAGAAAAGGGATGGCGAAGAGAATGATGGTTGCCATGAAGAATGCGAGTGTTGGAAGAGCATACCTGTGGTCGGCTTCGTACCAAAATCTCCAGTACCCTTGCTGCCACTTACAAAGTGTGTCGCTTTTGAGACTGCAGGTGTACTTTCGAGAGGAATGCAGCATAACGGGTTGCGTAAGCCATGGTGTACCATCACTGTGCATGGAATGCATCGACATCATGGTTCAAATTTCGCGTTGTTCGTTCGTGAAGTGGTAGCTTGGTCAAGTCTCAAAGGTCGCCAGTCCGACAGCCGGTCAAGGGTAGCAAGGTTTATTACTTCAAGGACACAATGTGAGACCGATCGCTTTCATTACCTGCTATACTCGTGACTCACATGTTTATATGTTATTTAGGAGTCAGAACGCGGCAGTGGGGCCTATGAGAAGTCGGAACAGGGCACTTCCGGGTGCTCAATTGCAGATACTTGCTCATATTGCGGTATGCTACAGCAAACTCATCACCTATGAACGTGTCTCCGGCAGCGGGAATAAGAGATGCAACTCGTTGCTGACTCCCGAGGCGCACCGACTTTGTTGTTGCCCGGTTAAAGGAAGGGTTGACACACGCTACTCGTATGACTGAGCAAGTTTGCGGTCGTTGTGATTGGCGAAATTGTCCAGCGCATATGAGGTGACGGGATGCTGGTATTTATGCCGCTCAGGATACGTGATGAGTTTTCAACTTCGCAAACGGTTCGTTATTTGTTTTAGTTAGATGCGCGACTCCTGTGCACCTTGAGAGTAGTGACACAAAGCTTCGCGTCAAATGTCTACATGCGGGCTGTGAATAGGAGTGGCACGAGGTACATCAAGGCCACAACACCTCTTCAGGCCTTTGTAACGCTTCCCAACTTTCCCATGAATGCCGCTTCGATAGGAGCTAGTTGAGAGCGCGTCGCAGTCATGCTCGCCATAAGGTAGATGACATTACCCAGTATGCGCGAATGAATCTGTACCTGTGATTCAGAAACATCGTGCAGTAAAGCATCGCGAAAGCCAACTGCTGCCGAGGAAGTGTAACCTAAGTCGCATTAGATAAGAAATATAGAGGAGAAAAGATCGACATACCAGAGCCGGCTTCATCAACGAGCGACACGGCGAGAACAGAGCCCAGAGCATTCACATACTCAACCCTCTGGTGATTTGATACGTTCTCCACGAAAGAACCGGACCACATGCTCCACACACGGTTGCCGCTGCCACGGCTTTCCATCTTGGACTTGCTCTCACATGAGCTCAAATCCAAGTTCCGCTCATGACCCAAGTTCAATTTCTCCATGATATCCAGACTTGTGTTTGCAACGTGGCACCCGACTGCATGAGCGGTATAGCTGTGTCCATGCAAGAGAGCTTCCGATTTCTCGTCGCCCAAGAAAGCCTCGAAAATGGACTGGCTTGCGCTGGTGATCGAAAGCGGTAGTAGACCTCCCGTAAGTAGCTTCGCATTTACACTGATATCGGGATGGATGTCAAGGAATGAGGCGGCAGAGAAGCGTCCCAGACGGTACAAACCAGTGAACACCTCGTCAAACATGACGGGAAGACCAGACCAAGCATTCTCGTCCTTCGGAGATTCCGTAACCCTGGAGCCGTTTGCAAAGTCGTAATGACGGACGACGCGTACTAAGCTCTGCTGGAAGAGTGGGTCCACAAACAGCATACCTCCGGCTCCGAGGACGACAGGCTCTAGTACCAAGGCACCGAACTTCTTGCCTTGCTTCTTGACCAACTCGTCTAGTGTTTTCTCTATGTAGGCCTCGTACTGCGCCGATCTACCCCTGGTAGCGAAGTCGAATATGCCGTCTTGACTCTCAAAGTTCTGAGCTGGACCCAATTCTTCTTCCATGCCCTTGGGTGGTTCAACCACCCATTTGCCATTCTTGAGCTTGAAGGTCGGGTAGTCAAACCAGAAGCCGCGACCACGATACCAGTCGACTTTCTCGTTGAAGACACAAGGTTCGGAGGCATCCATCGCCCCGATCGTGTCTCCGTGGTAGCTGCCTTTGAGTCCAAGGACACCAACGGCCTCTTTTGCGCTATCCCAGCCATAGCGCTTGCTGGAAGCCCGCAGCGCCATCTTTATACCGACTTCTGTCGCCGTGCTTCCGTTGTCTGTGTAGAACACTTTTCTCAAACGAGTCCCACGTGGCGAGCCCGAAAGTATCTTCTCCGCTAGAGTGAGAGCTGGTTCGTGTGTGGCGCCGGCGAACATGACATGACCATAGCGTCCTGCTGCGTATGCTGCTTCCAGTGCTAATCGCGGATTGCCGTGTCCAAGTCCTTGTGTCCACCATGATGCGGAGCCGTCAAATGCTGGGTACAAGGTCTGGTTCTCAGGATGAGGCACCTCTTCATTGCCCTTGTGCTTGACCTGGAAGAAGTCGCCATATGCCGAATCGATTACGAGTATGTCGTTCGCGTTCTTTACATGCTTGTGTTGTGTGAAAGGATGCCAAATCTTGTCCTCTGTTTCATACGGCATAGATCCAAGACGGCTGAGTCGTTGGTCGTGGCGATGAATCAGCTCCTCAGCAAGCGTTCCTACTATCGTACTATCGATTTGCGTATCGTAGTAATTTCGCATTATTTCCGTCTCTTTCTTCGTGCCTGGTTCAACGCCCTGAAGGTTCGGAATCCATTGTAGTTTGTAAGCTGGTATACCCATATCCATGAAATACTTCTTCAGGTAATCCGCGTTCTCATATTCGCTCTTATCGTCGAAACACACAACAGCATCGATATCATATCCTCGCATGATCAGGGATTCCGCAGCTGATATAGTAGAGGCGATGCCACCTAATCGATGGTCGCCTACAAGTACCGCAGGAAGTCGTAGTGGTCGGAAGATATCCGCTTGTGGGGTGCCGGAAGGCCCTGGGCTGAGAACTCCTCCAGCTGTCTCAATGATTGAGAACAGCCGACCCTGATCTAATTTGCCTGCTGCTTTTTGGACAGTCTTGAACACCGTTTGGCTGATGAGCTCATCGCTGGGCTTTGCTAGTTAATCACTATTGGCGAAAGCACAACAATAAAGCTAGAACTCACAATGTGTTCCGAACCTCTTGCCGCAACATGTGGGCTCACAGCTTTGTCGAATTTGAAAAGTGTGGAAACACGCTGGCCAGTGTACTTGTGCACATAGCTAGCGTACAGTCAGCCCTTGAGTCCCAAATATCTGTCGGATCACGCAGCACTACACTGACCTATCGTCGGCTTCATCAGCTGGGCCTGTAGATACAGGCTTTACATATTGTACTTTGTAAGGCCCGTGGCGTAACGGCGGTGTCCTGCTCTTGAGGCTTGCCCTACCGAAATGGGCACCCAGGAGCGTCGAGAAAACTGTCTTGCCAACTCCCGTGTTGGCACCATAGACCTGAACAGCAATCGCATTCTTCCACAACCCTCCTGGCACCTTCGCCATTTCTTTAGGAGTCCAGGTAGTCGTGAGTTGAGGGAGGTGCTATGGTAGATGGCTGCATGCTGTCCAATGCGGAGAGTGCGCTAGTGGTTCCGCGTCCACACCGACGCTAAACATGCAGGTACAAATGTAATGAGTCAAGCCGCATCTCCGACGGCATCGAGGGGTCAGCTTATGCGGTCTTTTAGCTAATGAGTATGTTTTTACTTTTGACAGCTTTCGACCACGCGGATAGCCGCGGCAGACCCCACGCTTCCTTCCCGCTTTCCGCTGATCCTACCACGCCAGCCATTTGGTCAGCTCCACACCATCACGCAAGGTCACGTTATCGTGGGTCAAAGGCGTCCCTGATTTCAGCTTCTACAGAAAGATATGGGGAGCAAAACGCATTCGACGCCGTTGCAAAACAAGTTACAAGAACTACTCGATCGCCGACGGACGAACGCAACACTCCGTAATCTGACATTACCACTTCAGAATCAGACCGACTTCTCATCCAACGATTTTCTGTCACTATCCACTTCGCCACAACTCAAATCGGAGTACCTTCAAGAGCTGCAGGGAATTGACTTGCCATTGGGTAGCGGCGGGTCAAGACTGCTAGATGGCAACTCGACGTACGCCGAACAACTGGAGCAAGAGATTGCCAACTTCCATGGAGCCACATCTGGACTGCTGTTTAACAGTGGTTTCGATGCAAACGCCGGCTTCTTTGCGAGTGTACCGCAGCCGGGAGACGTGATAGTCTATGATGAGCTTGTACATGCAAGCGTTCATGACGGCATGAGGTTATCACGAGCGGGGAAGACGATTGCTTTTGAACACAACTCCATATCTGCTCTAAAGAATGCTTTGGTGGCAGTTCTTGGTGAGAACGAGGGTGTGCGAGACAACGGATGTAATGTATTCGTGGCATTGGAATCCATCTACAGTATGGACGGAGACGTATGCCCTTTGAGAGAGATGGTGGAGGTCGTAGAAGAAGTCTTGGGCCCTGAACGAGGATATATCGTCATCGACGAGGCCCATTCTACTGGTGTATTAGGACCAGAGGGAAAGGGGTTGGTATGTGAACTAGGCCTCGAGAAACGCATATTCGCACGGCTCCACACATTCGGGAAAGCGGTAGCGGCAAACGGAGGTACGTCTTCGTTCATTCTCTCCAAGTTTGTGACAGATGCTAAGTACTTCACAGCAATCATTCTCGGCTCAGACACCTTGCGTCATTACCTCATCAACTACGCACGTCCGCTCATATATACAACGTTCCTGTCCTACCCCTCTCTGGCGCTCATACGCTCTTCGTACCGGCTACTTCAGTCTGGCCAGAGCGTAAGACTACAAGCCCATCTACAGCATCTTACGCAGCACCTCTACACTAGCCTCGGTCATCTCCAGAGACACTCCGACTTGGCTAGTCGAACACTCACAATTCCAAGTGCATGCCCAAGATCGCCTATATTCGCAGTGCAATTAGCGAGACCAAAGGTTCTAGCGAGCTTTTTGCAAACTCATGGTATGATGGTCAGAGCTGTGGTACCGCCAACAGTGCCGGTGGGTACTGCTCGAGTCAGGATCTGCTTACATGCTGGTAACACATCAGCGGAGGTTGACAAACTCGTTGAATTGCTGGGAAGATGGTGCGAAAGTCAAGCCGCTGAGCAGTTACAAGATCATGTACAGGAAGCAGTCGTACGAGCCAAACTCTAGCTTTGAATCAAGAGGACAACGCAACCCAGAGTTATAATAGTGAACTCGTGAACATCTTTACTTCTTCTTCTTTATATTGTGAGAGTGATTTTGTATAAACCACCTCTGCCCTCAAGCAAGTGCCTGAACCGTAGCCTCTGCCTCCGCAGCCGCAACAACCGCTTCAGCCTCATCCTGTCCCGGAAGCTTGCGCTGCTCTCCAATTGTCTCCTCCATCTTCATAGGCCTCAGTCCCCACCTGCCAAACATAGCCTTATCCTCTTCCCAACCGTTGCAAGCAGTAGTCAACATCTTCTCGCCCGTGAAGACAGCATTAGCGCCCGCTTGGAAACACATAATCTGCTTCTCCTCGCGCATCGTGTGGCGACCAGCGGCGAGTCTGATTATGGTGGTAGGCATGACGAGTCGTGCGGTAGCGATGGTACGGAGGATGGCGTCGAAGGAGATGGCTTGTGTCTCTCCGAGGGGTGTGCCTTTGATTGGGACTAGGGCATTGACGGGGAAGCTCTCGGGATGGGCTGGTAGTGTTGCGACGGTGTGGATGAGACCGACGTGGTCACGAGCCTTCTCGCCCAAACCAAGGATACCGCCGGTGCACACGTGTATGCCGGCTTCTTGGACGTTCTTGATGGTGGCGAGTCGCTCGTCGTAGGTGCGTGTGGTGATGACACTGGGGTAGTGCTCTCGGCTGGTGTCGACGTTGTGGTTGTATGCTGTCAATCCAGCGTCTTTGAGCTCTTTGGCTTGCACGGCATCTACCATACCTGTTGTGTAGAAACAGAAAGTCAGTGTATGTCTCACATGCAGTTCGTAAACTTGGTTCTTACCCAAAGTAACACATGCCTCCATACCCATACCGCGCACCCCCTTTATCATCTCCTTGATGTTCTTGAGATTGGTCTTGCGGCCTCGCATGTCTCTCCAGGCAGCTCCCATGCAGAATCTTGAGCTCCCATTCTCTTTTGCGACACGCGCAGCTTCCAAGACTGAATCTACCGAAGACAATTTTGTAGCCTTCAATCCTGTGTCGTAACGCGATGACTGCGCACAGTAAGAGCAATCTTCGCTGCAGCCTCCAGTCTTGATGTTGAAGAGCGTGCACATCTGGATGGCGGCGGGGTCATGGAAGCGCCGGTGCACCGAAGCCTACAACGGGATTGATGAGACATTGTCCCTCCAAATAGTGATGGAGCTGTGTGACATACCGCTGCATGTGTAAGGTCTATCAGCGAAGTATTGTAGACTTCAGTAATCTCTTCCTTCGTCCAGCTCGTCCTGGGCGCACTTGCATTGAGCGCGTTCTCAAAGACGGAGCCTGTCCGCGCTGGTGAGCGTAATTGTTGAGTTCCAGGGTCGACAGGGGTATCGAGGACGGTGCTGAAGGAGCGGGTGATCTGCAGGGAGCGAGGCGCGAGCGACAAGCCCCGGCCTGTTCGAAGAAGCACTCTTTGAGCCATTGCAAAAGGTCAATTGATGCTCGATACGAGTCGTCGGAATCACGTACAGTCAACAGGTGCCTCAGACTAGCTGCCCGCTCACGGCTTACGGGAGACGGCTCTAGGGCTCCAGGAACGCGTCGGCCTGCGTTTGTAGATCAGCGTGGGACTTCCGCCAATCAGAATCGAGGCGATGACCGCGGGGTTCCGTGGCGTCTTTACATTATCTAACTTCCTTAGACCGAGCGGTCCAGCCAAAAGCGCCGAGGTGGTTATATACCTCAATGGCTAGTATCGCTGATGTCGACATCGAGTGGAGACTTTTGGGTTCGTTGATGTTGCAAGGTTGCCAATGTCTCCCCGAGGGCCTACTCCAAACCACACCTCCAAACCGGACAATTACCTACCCAAGACCGTTTGTTTGATATGATTCAGCGCACTCCCCGCCCTCAGCCACTTCAATTGACCGTTGCTGTAACTATGGTTGAGCGGCGCGATCCACTCTCCTGCATTATTCGCGCGCACCACACGCATGCTAGCCTGCCTTCCCGGCCGTAGCTCGCCGTCTTCAACACCTTGTAGCGTAATGCGATCGCCCAACTGGATACGATCGTAGTCCTGGGGATTCGCAAAAGTCAGAGGCAGCATGCCCTGCTTCTTCAGATTGGTTTCGTGTATTCTGGCGAAAGAGCGCGCTATGATCGCGACACCACCGAGGAAACGCGGTTCTAGCGCTGCATGCTCACGCGATGACCCTTCTCCGTAGTTGAAGTCACCGACGATGCACCAGTTTACACCTTGATCGCGCAAGTCTCGGGCGACCTCATGCACAAGTCCGATTTCGCTGGTTAGCGGGTGGATCGTGTGGCCGAGCAACTTGGAGTCGGAACCTAGGAAGGCGTTCGAAGCTGCAAGAAGCATGTTGTTGCTGATGTTCTCAAGATGACCACGGAATTTGTACCACGGGCCTGCGGGGCTAATATGATCGGTCGTGCACTTCCCTTGGACTTTGACGAGAATCGGCATGTCTTTCGTCGAGCCGGGAGACCAGGGTTTGAAGGGCTCAAGTAGTTGCAGACGCTCAGATCGTGGGTCAATGTCGACTGTCACATCGTCGGCGTCATGAATTGGAGCTTGGTAGAAATCTTCGCCCACGACGAACTGCATGGGCAACTCGACATTTTTTGGTGCTGTGAACTGGAATCCCTGCGCTGACCCTTCGATTTGAAGAGAGTCGATGACAGGGTTGAAATCCAACCTTCCAGAGTAGGCAAAAGCCGTCACCATCTCTGGAGAAGTCACGAATGAACAGGTCTCTGGGTTACCGTCGTGCCGACCAACGAAGTTGCGATTGAAACTGGAAACTACCGTGTTTCTCTCGCGGCCTTTGACATCGACGTCTGTACGCTGCCATTGCCCTACGCAAGGGCCACAAGTTGTGCTCAGCACAACAGCACCTGTATCGCGCAATGTTTGCAGTATACCCTCCGATTCTGCAGTCGCGCGTATATCTTCGCTGCCTGGGGAGACCAGAAACGGTGTCTTCACTTCCTGCAAACCAGCAGCCTTGGCCTGCTCGACAAGCTGCGACGTTTTGTATAGGTCTTCGTATGAGCTGTTGGTGCAGCTGCCTACCATGGCATGACTGATTTCAACAGGCCAGTCGTTCTTTACTACAGCATCCTTCAGTTCTGAAAGAGGATGCGAAAGATCCGGAGTAAAGGGACCGTTGATATGTGGTTCTAACGAGTCTAGATCGATTTCGATGACTGTGTCATAGTGCTTCTCGGAGCCTTCATCTGCGGTCAGCAGGATATCCTTGTAGCCGTTTGCGAGGCGCGCAACATCCACACGCTTCGTCGCCGAGAGATATCGATTCATGGCTTCGGAGTAGGGAAAGATACAGGAAGTCGATCCAATTTCAGCTGACATGTTGCAGACAGTCGCCATGGCCGTGGCACCCAACGTCTGCGTACCTGGGCCAAAGAACTCAATCACCTTGCCCTTTCCGCCTGAAACAGATAGTATACCGGCGAGTTTGCAGATGATGTCTTTTGTCGAGGCCCATCCATGCAGGCTACCAGTAAGTCGGACACCTACAATCTGTGGGCACATGAGTTCCCAGGGCATACCAGCCATCGCATCGACTGCATCGGAACCCCCAACTCCAATGCCAAGCATTCCCATGCCGCCGGCGTTGGGCGTATGCGAATCCGTCCCGATAATAAGGCCTCCAGGAAACGTATAATTCTCGAAGATGGTAGTGTGGATGATGCCGGCGCCAGGTTTCCACCAGCCGATTCCGTATTTCTTTGCTGCGCTACTAAGAAAAGCATAGACCTCGCGATGCTCTTCTCTTCCACGGACAAGGTCCTCTTCAGCGCCGTCGCGCGATACGATGAGGTGATCGCTGTGCACTGTTGTGGGGATCTGGACTCTCGGGAGGCCTGCGCTGATGAACTGCAGCAATGCCATTGTCGCCGTCGCATCATGACATGCGACTCTATCTGGACGGAGATGCAGCAGCGTCTCTCCACGCCTGATTTCATCTAGAGACCAGTGGTGCTCGTCTGAAGTGTAAAGGTGACTATACAGCACTTTTTCTGTCAGGGTAAGGGGCCGGCGCGAGCCATGTCTAATAGACTTGAGCTGCAAGACCTGTCGGTCGTAGTCGCGTGGTATGTCTGCATCGAGAGGACTGATCGACACCCGCGGCGCAAGCGATGCCAGACTTCTCGCATACAAATTGCTACATCGGTGTAGGGGGTACCTTCGCGCTGCGACTTTAGCGGTGAGCATGACTTGACGATGGCTTGAACAGCATAGGAGAGATAGTGCATTCCATGTTTGCGATGTTGTGAGAAAAGGCAAGTCGGAAACATGTCCCTTATCCGTAGCCGGTCGGCTTTTGAATGCAGCGCTAGGATCTCGGGATATCTTTTGAAGCCGAGCAGAACAGTGCCGATGGAACTATGGACAATGGGGAGTTTGAACGTCCACAAACAGTAGGGCAAGTAAACAAATACGAGGCCTTGAAGCCTGCACTTCCACATGAAAGACTCATCGTAGTCTTCAGCATGCATAGTTTGTGTGACGGAAGCTGATTAGTCTGCCCTTTCTCGAATCTGTCGTATGGGCCGAAGTTGGGTATCAGTAAGGACATGAAGCAGATGCGATATGTCCATTGTACAAAGCAAGAGCGTTCCGAATGTGTTCGCGTCGTCGCGTCGCGTTGGTATCGCGTTCCAACGCAGTCGCCAGCAAGCCCATCCCCTCAACCCTGCAAGTTCTAGAACACGATGACGTAGCTTCCATCCCTCCACCAAACTTCCTCCTACAGCTTTACACCCACCCCAGCAACCACAACACCAACAATCTCTCCAACCCTACCGCCTGCACTGATCCAGACGCTCTCCTCTCACCCAACAATGTTCTCCCCCTCCATCTACACCGTCAGCGTCTTCCAGCTCGGCCTCACCTCGGCCCTCAGCGCCTACGGCCTCTTCCTCTCCTACCAAAACATAACGCGCCTACAGCAGTATGAAAAGCAGAGCGAGAAGGCTGCAGAATGGTCAAACACCGCGGCACAGAGATTGCATAAGACAAGGTCGACGCAGACGAGTGGGACTGTAACAGTACGTCTGCCCTCGCACGCTTGACCTCCAATTCCAACTGCTTCCTTACACATCATCACACCATCGCCCCTGACACCTCCTCGCTTTCCCATTCCCCAGTCAATGCCAACACAAGAACATCTCCCACTAACAAACCCCTCGCAGCTCCTCCTCAGCCTCCTAACCTCCGTCGCCCTCCTCACCATCCCCACCCTCTCCTCCCCAAAACTGTTCATCGGGGCCGGAGCAGCAAACGCAGCAGCCACATACCTCGCTCGAGTCCACATGTCAAATTTCTGGAACGACAAGAACCAGACGAAAATTCCCTTTGTGGAGAAGTTCAACGAAGCGATACGAGGGAGCGAGCTCGTCGTCTTGCTACTGGGTACACTGAGTCTAGGCTGGGCAGCAGCAGGAGGCGTGTGGGCGGGCATGGCGAACGGCGGAAGCGGGATATTGGGACTGGGTGTTTGGGGGCTGGTTGTGGGGGGGAGGGTCATGTCGATTGCGCCGCAGATGGGATGGACGGGTAGTACTCAAAGCTAGAAAGGGGATAGAAAGAATGGTCTACTTTGATTTCCATATATACGGGTATCTTGAACGATGAATCACGATTTCACATCCCCCATCTCACTCATCTCGCGCACCAACCTCACACTATCCGCTTCTCGGACCCAGTCTTCTATCCTCGCCCCCACATCCCCCACTAACTTCTCATACGTCTCGTTGATGAAGAAAAGCGAGGTATGTGCTGTCACCTCGTCCATGTTCTCCATGAAGACGCGTATCCATGTAGGATCCTTATTCCCATCCGCGTCTTTCGGCGGTAGCATGCAGAATTTCTTGAGCTTCTTGGGTTTGGCAGGCGCACTACTTTCTTCCGACTCGTTCTTTTGTCGATGATGGCTATTCTGGCTGTCCGTTGTGGAAAGGGTGTAGGAGGATTCGGCGCGGTTGTCGGGTGTGTCTTGGCGCATGATGCCGCTGCGCGAGAACTGGTAGTTGGCGTATGGATGTTGGGGGTTGTGTTGGGCTGGTTCGTTGTCGCCCAGTTCAATGGCACCGATATCCTCTTCCAGGTCGGTTGTAGCGCGTTTTGGTGAGGTTTTGTCTTCTGCGGGTATCTTTCCGTCGCGCAAGTCTGCTTCTCGTTGCCTTTGTCGCGCTTCTTCTTCCCGCTGCTCTGCTTCTGCTTGTCGCTGTTCTCTTTCTTTCTGTCTTTGTTTGTCCTCTGCTGACATGTTGTTTGCCTCTTCGGCCTTCTTTAGCTCTTCCTTCTCCTGCTCTTTCCTTGCTTTCTCACGTTCTTCTTGCCTCTTCTTCTCTTCCTTCTCTCGGTCCTTCTTCTCTTTCGCTTTTTCCTTTTCCCATTTCTCTTCCATCTTGGTCCGTTCGTTGATCGTCTTGTTGCGTGTCTTGACAGCTTTCTGGTATACCTTAAGAGCCTGGTCGTGCTCTTTCTCTGCAGCTTTGCGCTGGGCCTTGTCGGAGAATTGCATCAGATCAACAAATGGCGGCTCCTGCGGGATAGGCGGGATCTCTGGTAAGTTTGGAGGACCGCTGTTCTCGCGCGCTGATTCCTCGAAAGTTTGAGGTGCTGTAGGGCTGGTAGCCGATAGGAGGTCTTGAGGGCTGACAGGCACGACGCCGTCCTCTCGATGCTCGTGGACTTTGATGGATAGCGGCGGAGAATCTGCCATGGGTTCAGGATGCACGTGTGTCATCTCTGGCTCGGACGATGTGATTGATGAACTTCTCGACCTCTCTTCTTCCTCTGTTTGAGCGGGTATCTGTCGCGATGCCTCACTCGAGGCACTCATGTTGCTATTTTGATGCTGTAATTGCTGACTGGATGACCGTGATGGAGATGGTGATTTTGGAGAAGGCGATTTGGGAGATTTCGGCTTCTTGGGTCTCCCGGTGCTTGCAGTGTAGTAGTTGACAAAGCGTACGCGAGGTACTGTGCGCCCTTGGCCAAAACCAGATCTCCTCTTGCTTTCGTCGTCTTCTTCCAGCGCGCGCACCCTTGCGTATCTGTTCTTCAATTCCTTGTAGTCGGCCATTGCGCTACCGAACTCGAAATGAGACTTGACGAGACCTTTAGTGGCTTCTTTCAAGCCGTCTTTGTAGTGTTTGGTAAGCCAGTGTAGACTGTTTTCCCAGCCCTTCCGATTTGGCAGATTCACATCATTTGGGAATGCCGGGTTGTAATTGGGATCCGTAGGCTTTGGGTTGAAGATTGTACTCATTCTACTGGGTCTCTTTCCAACGTCGGCGTCTTGCACAATCGCGTCCTGTGGTGTTGGCGGTGAACTAAAGATGCTGCCTAGTCCAGCTTTGATAATTCCAGGATGCATGCCCAGGAACGGAACATCGAAATTCACGATACCAATGATGCGATGGCGGAATACTAGCGCGATGTCCGCAGCGAGCAAGCCACCCATGGAATGACCGAGCAAAACAACGTCGGTCCATTGATCCTCGTGTGGAGCTAGCCTGACAGCTGTCAGTCCTGGGCATGTTCGTAGGTGAGAGAACCGAACCATCTCGAGAAGTTGTCTCTCGCAATCTCAAGCGAGTCCCGTGACTTGTATCTGGGATAGATTTTTGTGTGGACGACATGGGTTTCGGCGAGCGTGATGGTTACAAGATTGTGCACGTGGGCTGGGAAGCTTCTAAAACTTGTTTCGTTGCCCATGAAGCCATGAATGAAAACCAGCATTAGGCGCCGTCGCCCAGTCTCTCCCTGCGAGGGATCTGGGACGAGCGACTGGGTCGAAGAGGAGCGCGGGTCTTGCGACGATATGCCCATGACGGAGTAGGGTGGAGGCGCATCACTTGTGGAAGAGTCTCGGGGAGGAAGTGGTGGTGGGCGTCTTTGGTGCTTTTGGTCCGAAGCTGCTTGATTTGTCGGCGACGTCATTGTTAGATGTGGATGCACCTGTTACGACACGCATGGGAAGAGGCGCGAATTATATAACCAGTGCCTTGAAAACTGGGAAGTGTTTGCGAGGCTTGGAAGGCGCGCAGTTCAGAGGGGCAATGTGGGGTAAAACGCGACAACTCATACGCAGGTCCAATACGAAGGACGGCGTATTCGCTCGCCACTCGCGTATTCACCTATACGCATGTTCAACCAGCAACAAGTAGGTATAACGAGTAGATGCGCTAGAAAGTCGAGACTGACTGGCTCAAGAATGCACACCGTCAGATCTCTGGATTCCAACGAAGAGAGTCGTGCGCAGCGCGATGTGGTGGTCCACAAGCGGCAGGCAGTCGTAGTTGGGCGTGTGGAACCCCATGAGACGCACGCTTTCCTAGCAGAGACAAAGAGTTAGAACGCAGCAAGGGACTGGACCGCTGAATCCGAATCTGACGCGCCGCCGATCACCCCTTCGGTTATATAGTTACATGGACATTCTATAGGTTTGTGTTTCGAAGTCACGCTCGTGTCAGAGGATATTTGGAGTTCCGTGTTATGGTGCATGACTCGTGCATATAGAGCTGATCACTGAGGCCTTGTCGTTTAGGTTTGCTAAGGTCTATGAAACTATATGACGAATAGTCATGCACCGCAGAGTGGCACATCTCACAAGTCATGAGGAATGAGGCATGCTGAAGGGCAGGTCTGGATTAGGAGGGTAATGTCAGACGGCGTGGATGGCCTCGTTCTTTGTTCGGCGTGGTTCATGCGCAGTTGTTTGTTGACGCGATAGGCCAGGGGCTCCAGACAAACATACTAGACAGTGGCGCGTTCCAGAGAGGAAGCTCGTGATGTTGGTGGTGAACTATGAAGGCCACCCTAGCGAACAATGAAGACTACTCGGGCTTGGCAATACGCCAGCCAGCAGACACGGGCCGGCGGTCGTGGAAAGGGCACGACGGCAGATTGCAGCAAGCGAGTCCCCCAAGGCGACGAGCACGAGTCGGCGATGCTTGTGCGACAATAGCAATGGCAGGTGCGACAACCCAAGGGCGGCAACTAAGAATAACACCTTAGCAGACTTTGCAGCCCTGCATACGCCGTTCCAGAATGCGGTACCTGAAAGGCCGTCGCTGGATGGTGTGGCGCCACTGCAGGTGCAAGCGGGACGGCTAGTTAGCAGCCCCTTTGGACCATGGTACGCCAATTCTCCGAAGTTATACTGCCGAAGAGTGAAGCTCGACGATGCGCAGCGGGTGGGCGAGGACGAGATTAAGAAAGAGATTGCCGTCGTCACCAGTCGTCATTGCCGTGACGATCGCAAATGTGCTGAGGGCGTGTTGTCATATCGTGTGCCGGTGGGTCCTGCTATTCCTGGACATATCATCTCGCTTGCGGGCCAATCAGGCCCACAGGGTCTGTGCCAACGGCCGACGGACCCCAAACGGTTTCTCGTCTCCTCGCTGCATCTGGCTGGGCTGGAGCGTCGGCGTGCTGTGTCTGTGTCTGCTCCCTGTGTCCCTCAGGCTCTCTCCCACGACGCTTCCGCCGCGACGTCGACAATTCCACGGACCCAGCGCTACCACGGCCAAGGGACCCTCAGGACAGCAGCTGTTGGAGCCGCCGTCGCGCGACACCCACACCACGTCTGGCCCACCCCGTTGCACGATACACGACGCTAGAAATTGCGTCGGCCGCCCGTTCCCCATAACCTCCCCGTCCGCCCCCTCAACCGCGCGACCGTCGCGAAGCAAATGCTGGCCTATTGATCGCCTTCACGTAGGTCCTCCTCAAGTTCATCCTCCTGACATGTGAGTGCTGATCGTTGCCGCCTCCAGACCATCCCTCAGTCAGTCACCTGGCGTCCATTCTTTTGCCGACATTCACTCGCTCCCACCCAAACCCACTCCATTGACTGGACTCCCTGCACCGGCTGAAGCCCGTACGTCCGCTCATTCGCACACCGTCCCTACAACACATGTTCCGTCAAACAGCGCACCTCGCCACCGATACTCTGGAAGCATCGCCCTAGCCCATATTGCCTGGACCGTCTCTAGATCTTTATGGACCCCGTTGCAACACCCTCCAGGATATCCAGAGTCGATTCGCGCTACCGTCACCGCGCGCAAACCGTCCCGCCCCAGAGCGAACCTGTGCCGCAATCTGAAGAGAAAGAGGAGGAATCAAGTCAGGACGACTTTATCCCTGAGCTGAGAGCCAGAGACAGCATGAGCAGAGGCCATCGCTTCTTTCACCGTCGCGCTGCCCTGGGCAACACGAAGGTTGTCACTGTCGCCGTCGAAGTAGTCGGAACCGTCGATACCAGCGGAAGTTTTATCCCCCAGGAGACCATGGCGCCTGTCACACCTCAGTCCCCAGTTGCTCCTACACCGACCCCTGCCGCAGTCGCAGCAGCTTCACCAGCACCAGCGCCCTCAGTGGCTCCCGCCGCGCAGCAACCACTGCCCTCCGCTCCCGCACCTGGTGTTCCAGCAGTACCAGCAGTACCTACAGTTGCGGCTCCTGTGCTTCCATCCGTCCCAGCAGTCCCACCTTTCCCAAGTGACCTCGTGGTTCCAACCGTTCCTGCGTACCCATACTCCACAGGCGGCCAAGTCCCGGCCACCTCCGACTTGAGCGCATCTCCAATTCCAACTAGCAGCCCCGAAAGCGCTGCGACTCCATCTGCAGCCCCCGTGCCGCTATCAGAAATAAGTTTCATCTTGAACTCAACAGCATCTAGTAAGCCAGACGATACTGCCAACATGATCAAGTCTAACAAGTCCAGGCACTGCTTCCTTGTTTTCATCATCTTCATTCGTCTCCCTTGACAGCATCTCGGCGTCAACTTCGACTGACCTGATTGCGACCATCGCAGCAGCCCCGACTCTCTCGACATCTTCATCGGCATCACAATTCACGTCCTCGTCCGACGCATCGTCATCTTCTCAAACTTCAGCAGAATCTGCTTTCCCTAGCAGTACCGTCATCTCCTCTGATGCTGCGTCAACAACAGCATACTATGGTGGCGCCGGTGGGGACGCGTCTGGAACGGCGGCTGCCCCTGCTGCCACCACAGCAGGCATCTCAGATGCTGATGCTAACACCTCTCCTCCTCTACTTGAAACCCCACAAGTTGTCGGAAGTGTAGTGGGTAGTTTGGCTGGCGCTGCGCTCATTCTCGCCATAATACTGCTGCTGCTTAAACGTTACAAGCGGAAGCAGGGCGGTGCTCTACAACTCACTGGCGACGATCACACCGATAACAACCAGTCGATGAGGCAAGCACCCACCACAGCTAGTACCTTGGTTCCTGTCGCCTTCCTGAACCGTTTTTCCGGTCTGTCAGGCAAGACTGCGGAAACCAACCTCAGTGGTGGTGAACGCAGCTTTCAACGAGTCTCAGGGCGCAAGCTTCCATCCGCTTTCAGCGAGGGCATGACATCGGATCAGTTCTCTCGTGGCGGCACAATGTCTGGATCTTCTTTCTACCAAGATGAACACGGCACGTATGGCGGTCCCGGCATGTCAAAAGAGTTTGGCAAGGAGATCGGTGACAGCCCAACGAACCGAGAGTCAGGACCCATGAACATTCGACCCAGCCCAGCCAGGACACCAGTCATACGGCATCCTGATGATGGCAACCCCTTCGCGGACCGCCACTATCTCAGCCCGCCACAATCTCCAAATCCTGATGCCCCACCCAGAGGCACTCTTGGTAGAAGTCTGCCTTCGGCGGACGGATCCAGGTCATCTCGGTTTACAGAGAACGTTTGAATGATCTACTAGTCTTTTATTGCCTTCTTACTCTCGCTCCAGCATCTGTTTTACCTAACGACACGCATGAACGTGCGTATTGCTCACCTCGCATTGTACCCACCATCTCGCATCTCTTGTCGGTCTCGTCTTGTATACCCCCAGGATCCGCTCGACAGGTTCCACTACTCACCACATACTGTCCTTAATCCGGGCCGCAATCTGGCGGCCCCAGAACTAATGTCTTGTCGGCTTCCTTTTACTTGTTTGTTGTTTTACTATATAGTCGTTTCCAGTTTCCATTCTTCACGATAACTGCCGGATCGGGAAACGGTGCCTTTGTTTCATACCCCCCTGGTTGTTGCTCTCTCTCAAGGGAGAAATCCCTGGGTCGCACGACCATTTGTTTATATCGGCTCTGTGGTCCGTGTATATATTCTACGCTGTGCTTTGTTGAAAGCCGGCTTCGTGCATATGGTCGCCATGTTTGTCATGTATGTTGGGGCGCGAGGGCAATTTCGGACTAGAGGTCTCGACTATAGGGTTGGCGGAGTTCATAGTGGTCTCTCCCAATGCTCAAAAGTTTGGTCTTGCAAAAATTACAGTCTAACCTGCGTGCACCTCGTTGATCCAGTGATGCATCGGATAAGTATGCATGCTGCTTACCACGTTTCTATTTCTAGCACAATACGCAATACTAGCACACATAAGGCTGCTGGATTTCCTGTCCTGGCCGGCGCAGCCTGCACTACCGTTTCCTTAACACGGTCCATGTCATGTTCATCACCTCCGTGGTCTTTTGATAGGGTACTTGGCATTCTCATGACATCGCTCTCGGTTGGCCGGCCGCAGCTCAGCCCCACCCGTGCTTGCCTAACCGTAAGCACCGCCCCAAGATCGACGGTAGTACCGCCTAGCGTCACGTAAGGCTTCCCAGATAGATGTGATTAAATGCCAATGCCGACTCCAGACTCATACCTATTGCTCTTACTATCTGACTCTCAGCACCAGAACGTCACTGTATCCTATACTACTTACCATTCGCGCACCTATCTCTAACACCCGACAACAAGCAACAGCAACAGCACCCCCAACCCCAACATCACCACCACCAGCCTTCCCCCTCCCAAACAACCACCCACCCCCACAACCATGGCCCTCGCCCCCGCCCCCCAGCCCATCGGCGTATTCCCTCAATTCTTCGCCGCCGGCCCCGAAACGCTCGTCCTAAAAGAAAAAGTCATGTCCCTCAGCGGCGACAGCTTCAGCATCAAGCTCGCAAACGGCACGCCGGTGCTCAAAGTCGAAGGCAAAGTCATGAGCCTGACGGGCCGCAAGAAGATGTTCGATATGCAGGGAAACCACCTGTGCAGTATTGTTAAAGAGCATTTTCATATTCACTCGACGTATGTGGTGGAGAGTGCGGGGGGTGAGAAGATTATGGAGGTGAAGAGTAGTTTTAAATGTGAGTGCATGGGATGTTTGGGGAGGAGGGTGGGGAAAGGGAGGGAGATGGGAAGGGGGAGATGGGGGAGGTTTGAAATTTGATGCAAGAATGTATTTGGCTGACGATGAGATACAGTATTTGGTAGCAAAGCAACAGCAACATTCACGTCGCAAAACGGCAAGCAAGAAAGCCTCACTATGAAAGGCGACTTTTTCGATACCCAGGCTGATATCCTGGATGAGGCGCAAGGAGGTACGTATCTCACACTTCCCTCCCTTCCCTCCCCCCATACTAACCCCCCCTCCCTCACACAGGTCTCGTCGTCGCCCGCATCGACCGCAAGCTCCTCAGCGGCAAAGACATATTCTTCGGGCAGCAAACCTACGGCGTGCAAATCGCGCCTGGGGTCGACATGGCGCTCATCGCCGCCCTGTGCATCTGCCTCGACGAGAAGAACAACGAGGGGTCATAGAATAACTCGAAGAGGAAACAAGTGCCGTATGTGTTTTCTTTGGCGAACAAGGCGACGAAGGGGCGGAGTGGGACGTGGATGAATCAGGCGACTAAGGGGAGGAGTGGGGCTTGGTGGGAGAGGGTTGAGGGCGTGGGGATGAGGAGGGGGACTTGGTAGTAGGGATGGGAGAGGAGGGGAGGGGGAGTGTGGTGTTTGTTGTGTATACCCTTTGCGTGGAATATTGGTGTTTCTTTCTAGTCCATGAAACTGTTTCTTGAGTTTATGTGTCTGATGATGAGAGAAGTTTGTCGAAAGTTGATCTCTTCACGCGTCTCCGTGGGAGATGACAGTGCTTGAAACACGTATAACTTGGTTGCCAATATCATGAGGCATCATCAGACCACACATGGTCTGACCACTGCGACTAAACGGCACGACGCATCACTCACGGTCACGACAGTAGAACGAAGAGTGAAGTAGATAATCTTGATATTAAAGGAGCGTCTTTAGTTGCTTGTCACTCACTCATCTCCATCCCACCATCTATACACAACAACAATCCCTTTAACTACGCCCAGAAACCCCACAAAAAACAACAACAAAGGAGAGATCTAATAAGCCGAAGTACAGGGCAATCGGGAAAAAACATGGCTGAAATGACCACGTCCCGCAAAATATATGCTAGTAATGCAGTCTAACACGAAGCAGACGGAGAAGCAACAGAATATGGAGAAGGATGGGAATAACTCAGAGGCTACGCAGGAAGAGATAACGAAAACGCCTGCCCAATGAATGCTATGCTTGACTTGGAAAAACTTATCAACACCTTCTTCTGCAACAAAACTTTTGGCCGGCCTGCTTGTATATGCTCACGTCTGCAATCCGTTCCTTGTCCCGATCTTTTTTTCGCGGAAAGGGGGGTATATATGCCACATGGCTTGACAATGGCGGGGGCGCGGGAAAGGGGCCGGCTGCGAGGGTACTGCAGCAAGGTCGATGAACGACCAAAGAATTAAGGGCACTTGTCTGGACCGTGTGTTGGGGGCGATCCAGCTAACCATGGTCAATTACTTCGATCCAGCGAGCAATTCCGATCCGGGTACATTGTGGCCGAAATCAAGTATCAAAGTCCTGCCATCCTGGCTAGTAGCAACAACGCGTCTGTAGTCACTCTTGGCTGAGAGGATCCAGCTCGTTGTCCAGTTCTTGTAAACAGCATATGTTTGCCCAGTCTCGTAATCCGAAACTTGTATACTCTGGTCGTACGAGCCAGACACGATGCGACCGTTGAAGGCGTCGAGGAATAGCGATCGTACAAGACCGTCGTGCTTAACTCTGCTGTGGACCAGCTCGCCGGTTGAAGCATCAAACTTGTACACGACGTGGTCATTACCACCGGCGAGAACGTATTTTGCGTCATCGGAAAATTCGACAGCGGCGAGACCACGGTCTTCGGACGGGAAGTCTTTGATTGAGACACCAGTCTCAAGGTTCCAGAGCTTAGCTACACCGTCGCCACTAGCGGAAACGAGGAAGTTGCCGCGTAGCTGAACGGCGTTGACGGGGCCTCTGTGACCCTTGAGTGTGCGGACGCAGTTGCCGGTCTTGCGGTCCCAGACCTTGATCATGGCGTCCTTGGAGCAGGAGATGATGTACTTGTCATCAAGGCAGACATCTAGGACACCAGCCTCATGGCCGCGGAGTCGGTACATGGGAACGTACTCATCGCCGGTAATGTCCCATACGATGCAGGTGTAGTCCGAGGATCCTGTCACCATGATCTCGCTATCGTACTGTAAGCAGAGAATGGAAGCGTCGTGGTAGTCGGCGGGGACGGTGTATATCTCGTTGCCAACCTTGGTGCCGTTGAGCGAAGCGTGGCTGATGACTCGTTCCGGTCGCTCCTCCATGGGTGGGGGAGTGTTAGCTGTTGGCCGGTGGTTGGGTCCACCGTAGACCCTGATGCACTTGTAAGTTTTCAGATCCCACACGCGGATAGTCCTGTCTCGGGAGCCGGTGATGGCCTTGTTCTCGTCAAACTGGCAGCAGTAGACGCTATCCGTGTGACCATTGAGGTAAATGGCAGCGGGTGTACCGGTCTTCCATCGCCCGTCGATTGTGCTCCGCGCCCTGAACATCTGCTTCCAGTCCTGGGCTGGTGCTGGGTTGCCGCCTGCCATCTTGCCAGTGCCCAAGCCGCCCATCTGGATAGGCGCAGGGGAGACGTGTACTTCGGGTTCGTGTTTGCGGAGGAAGACGTTCCGCCAGACGTGCGGTGACGAGGCGTGTTCGTTCCAGCTGCGCGAGACGCGCTCGGCCCGTACGAGAGAAGCGGCATCGAGGTTTGACAGGACGGTGGTGGCGAGCTCGGCAGGAAGGCGTTGGAAGGGATCGACTGTGACACTGTTAGCGTGGCCCCAATGACTGGTGTTTGCCAACTCACTCATCTTCTTCTCCGTGACACTGTCGGCGCGGACAATGGGAGAAGCACATGTCATGTCCACACCGCTCTCGTTGTCCTTGATGTCGTCATCACGCATGGAGGTGGTGATGAGGCCATTGAGAAAGCGGTGGGTGTGTTCCTGCTCGCGGCGGAGCTGGTTCTGGCGATCCTGGTTTGCGGCGGCTGCTGCTTGTCGGGCGGCGGCGCCTGGTACGGACTGGCTGGGATAGGAGACGGCGGGCGTGAAAAGAGCTTTGGTGATGTCTGTCGAGGGCCCCGGAGCTGTGGGGCGGCGTCGCATGCTACTCAGGCGCTTGAAGGGAGCAAAAGCCTTTGAGCTGGTGCTTTGTGGTTGCAGTTGAAAAGTGGGAATGCCAGAGTCTTGGTGTTGCAGGGGCATTCGCTGTTGATCCATGGTAGACTTCTGGCTAGCGCTCGAAGAGGGCAACGACTCGAATAAGGAATGAATGGAGCCGCGGCGACGCTGTGCAGGTGTGGCGGACGACACGGACGACATGCGCCGGCGCGTCTTTTGGCGGGTGAAACTACCAGCGACTGCACCAAACGCGCGGGAGAAGGAGCTGGCCTGTGAATGCTGCGACAGGCCGTCGGCGTGCATGGTGGCTTCGTTGACGGCGTCCAACATGTTGGTGTCCTTGACGTCGTGTTGGTAGTGGGTAGGGAATGTCTGCGAGATGGTGCGCTTCATCGTGTGCGGCGGCGGCGCGGCAGAGGTGTAGGCGTCGTCGTCCACGTCGGAAGAGGTCTTCGGTCGGTGCGACAGGATGGACTGCCTGCGATGCATGCTCCCAGGGATGCTGACTACTGAGCCCGACGAGTTGCGGTGAAGGGCAGAGGCGAAACAGAAAGCGAATCGTAACGTCGCAGGATAACACGGCGGTGACTAAGAGAGCGTGCACAGCAAAGCGGGCTGCGAGGCGTAGGGAGGGTGAGGGTTTGGGCGGAAAGCAAGGATACGCAAAAGAGTCGGACACGAGGTTTATAGCATGAGTATTAGTAGCCGCAGGAGAGGGAAAACAGAGCTTGTTAACAACGCCAGACGACGTGCCACACACTAGGCCAGGAGACTCAGCCGATCTCAAGCCGGTTCGAGTGCCTCCCGAACGTGGTCTGTTCACCAAAGCAACTCCAGACCCACCCCTGCAAATTACCACTTATCTTATCATGCCAGCACTACCCACACCGTCCTGAAGAAGTCGTAAAGAGTACCGTTCGACCGCCTGCTGCTGCATCCGGCTCCTCCGATCCACTGTCACCACGGCCTCCTGCGTCTGCTTATGCTACACCGCTCCGACGGTACGCCATCCAAGTCGCTTCACGGTACACCATCTTGAATCGCGTGGAGCCCACAACCTAGATCACGCGAAACCGGGCCAAACCATCGCTCAAACATCATGGCATCAACCGCTCCACCCGCCCCCATACCCACCGTCTACCGCCTCGTCTTCTGCTGGCTAGAGCCCGCTTCCATCCTTCTAGGTGCCATCTACGCGTTTTTCTTCCAATCCACCTACCTGGACTTGACCCATGCAGCCAGCTCGCCGGGCCTCCCGGTTCCAATCTCAACATCCATAGTCATGTCACAGTTAGCGAATCTGTACCTTGGACTTGCTTTTTTGGAAGCCTCGATCCTGCGCGCCACGCTCGACGTCAAAGTCTGGAAGACCTTCATAGTCGGTTTGCTGCTCGCCGACCTAGGCCATTTGTTCTCTGTGTTGCCGGTCGGAAGCGAGATCTACTGGGCCTTTTGGCGATGGAACGCCATCGATCTGGGGAACGTCCCGTTCGTTTACTTCTTAGCGGTGACGCGCATTTGCATGCTTCTTGGCGTCGGCTTCCAGAAGGAAGGTGTGAGATCGAAGCTGACATGAAGGCGCACTGGCAGCAGAATGCAAAAACACAAATCCCATGTATATATTTCTAGTCGTGTCAATAAAATGTCATGCATCGTAGCGAGTCCACCAGCCGTCACCACGACCATCGCAATCTCTCATTTCCACATGTGCGCCCGTCACAAACAACCCAATCCTGCCCAACACGCCCGACCAAAACGAGGACATTCTCGAGCCTGCCTCGCCTATTCACGATTCATCCCTAACCAGGCAGCCCAACCGAGCAAATCGCATACCTCGTTACCCCAGACCCACAGTACAAGACCCTGTACATCATCTCGTGCATACCCTTTCACCCGTCATCTCACCGACCGACGGGCCTCACCGCCCCAAATCTCTTCACCAAAAACCTTCACCCCTCGGAATCATTCCGAACCTAACAATCACCAAAAACGAGCAAATGGCAGCTTACCCGCAGCAACGCAGCACCACAGTGAAACGCCATTCATTACACATTACACACTGAAAGCCCGCCCTCTCTTACCGCCGCCGCGATGAATCCAAAATTCTGCCTTGTGAGGTCCTTTGTCAGGTAAATCCAACAAAGACGCTGACTGACACGTCTCCATGCTTCTCGACAAAAAATCATCGCGTGGCATCCCCGGCACCACACACATGCAGCATGCCGAGAATAGCAACTGCCAACATCGTCCTTCGCCACGCCTGCTCAGCCTCATGCCCTGCATACCCACCCGCCAGTCATCAGCAACTCCCCCAGCACCAGTGCAGGGCAAGGTGCGCGGGAATCCCGGAGAGGCAGCGGCGCAAACGTCATTCCTACCCCATCAAATCAATTTTTCTTCTCTCCACCATTCTTTTTCTTCCTTGCCCATTCGCAACATCTCGCATCATACTCGGGCTTAGCTGCTTAGCACGCCACTTGCACATACATGTAATCGCAGATCTTTGATGTATGTTGGGAGAGGCAAATTTGAAAGAAAGGGAACACTTCCACGTCGTTGGGACATTCAATCCCGCTTCTGTTTCGCCGAAACACTAATTCACGTTGACTACCATGGATACGGCGCTGCACACAATTTGTTAGTAGTTAGTGAGGGTCGGTCCTGTATGCCCATGACACGCGCCTTGCATCATGTCATGTCGAACCAAACGTTAATCTTTACATGCGTACCATGGTTTGCGCAGGCGCAAAGGGGTCTTCGCCATGATGTCGCCGACCTTTTTTCATTGTGCACGAGTTCCGAGCTGCCTAGAAAGATGGCTACGTGGGTATGATGGGGTGGCCGTCATGTGTACCAGTGGATGGCTTGGCGGGGTCGTGTAGGGAGGGAGCACGGAGAAAGGGTGTAATGGACCCCGCACCCACGATGTGAAGTTCGGGGGTATACCGTGGTACACGTGCTTCTAGACGGGCCTGCCAAGATTTGACAACGCAGCGTGTTCGAGAACAATCGCGAGTATTCATGGCGTATATGTAAGATTGCGCTACGTCACAGAGTTTGCCTGTAGTAGTACCCGCAGCTTGAGATTGCTGCCATGTAATTAAGGCACGGCACAAGGCACGATGGTGGTCAACCCTTTCCAACGTTTCGCACGGTTTGGTTTCAGAAACACATCGTCTCACTGCAAAACATCAACACACAACACTCGTTACAAAGACGAACAATGATAGAGATTTCAAGACACTGCTTCCCCTGCACCCGCAGAAGCCGGAAGCGACAGGAAGATACGGGGTATAATATCCACACCAGAAAACAGTAATCCAAACACGAGACCCAGTTACAAAAGTTCAACCCCAATGCTGTAGAGATACCCGCTTTTCCCGATTGCAACATGAAAACGCGCCTTGACCCCATACCAATCAATAAGCTTTGCTCATACATGTATATTAGGCCGTAATCGATCCGAACACCGTGCAAAGTGACGCAGTATAAACAGAAAGCGAGTGAAATCATGGTACATCGCAGATACATAACAGCGCCCGAAGGCAAAAAGAGGCGAAAGAATAGACGCAGGTATGCGCGTCAGAAAAGGAACAAGATCCCAAAAGGGTGGTAAGAATGAGGCTCAAAGCATGGATGGATCAAGTGTTCCACCCATGCTGTCCATGGTCTTCTCGAGCATGTCAAGGTCCATCATAGTCCCTGGACCATAGTCGGGGAATAACATCATGTCCTCGCTGTCCATGGGAGGAAGAACAACGCCCAGATTCTGCAGGTCTTCAGAGAGTTGCATATCCATTGGGAGGACATCACCAGCCATGTTGATGTGCCATGCATCGGGCATGTCGGCGTCCTTGAGATCGATGTTGATGACGAGATTGTCGTTCTCGGAAATGTCAGACTGTCGTGTTGAAGGCGTGTCTTTGTTAGATGACTCGGGCGTGGCGGAGGGTGAGGCGGGCCGGGAGCGGAGTGCCCACGTGTTATCTTCGTCCTTGAGATCAAAGACTGTAAAAGGCCCGTTCGCGTCGAGAGCGGCAAAGGTATCTTCGTAGGAATAGTCAAGAAGAGACATTGGCAGCATGGGCTGCTGCGGCGTCTGCTCTTCTTCTTGAACCACAGGCTCCGGAGCTGTTGCTTGCTGCTCCTTGGGTACGGATTTGGGGATGCTGGCCGGTGTGGGTTTGCCGCGGGCACCCGAGCCAGGTGTGCCCACCTTGGTCATCGCCTGGGGTGTCTTGAGTAGATTCGAAGACGGTGAGTCCTTGACGCCTGTTTGCGTTGGTACCCGCGCCATCGCCGTAGTTGCTGGCTGCTGTCCAACTGGAGTGGCAGCATTGTTCGAAGCGCCAGGGGTCTGCTCCGGCTTGACAGCCTGTTGAGTTGCTCGTGGCGCAGCTGGTGCGGGCTTCGAGGCGCGTTTGGCAGCGTTCGGATCGACCTTCGCTTCGCCAGTCTTCTGGTCAATATCCAGGTAATCCGCCATAGAGTCGAGAGCAAACTGCATCGGGTTCTCGACCTTGACGTGTATCTGACTATGCGCCTCTAGTTCACCCTGGGTATCGAAACCCCTTACGGAGAATTCACAACTTGGATCGTTGCATCGGAAAGTCGGCCGTTGTGGCATTTGCTTCTCAGGGGGCGGTTGTCTTCTCAGTTCAGGGGAGTTGCCTGTACCTGAACCAATTCGAGGAGACGCTCTAGCACCGGGAGTAGATGATTGACTGCCCTCAAGCTTCGCGCGCTTCTTCTCAGGCAATACAAGATTCGTCACTGGCCTCGCTCCCTCGAAGTAGTGTGCTGCTCCGTGGCCCGAGTCGGCTCCGATAGCGAACGGTGGTCGGTCGGTGGTAGGGGCAGAAGGCGGCTTCTGGCTGCGGTTTTGTTGTTCTACGATTTTCAGATTTGCGGCATTAAGTTGAGCGGGCGGGGCATTCGAACCACCCTGGGTCTGCGGCTGCTGCTGCTGCTGCTGACCAGCTGTTTGCTGCTTGACCTTTTCCATAATCTTATTAACGAACTTGAGTGTTGCGCCCATATGGTTCTTGAACTCTTCAATCGTAAGAGTGACTTGAGGGCGAAGCGTGCCATCTGACAGGTCAATCTGCTGGTATAGCAGAACACGAGACGTCATGATTTGGCGGAGAACTTGCTCGGGCTCAGAGGAATCGTACGAAGCGTGGAAAATGCGTAGAGCCTGATCCACCTGCTTTAGTCGGTTGAGTTGTTCTTTGAGCGATCGCTGTAGTGGTATTCGCATTTGCTGGGGTAGCTGTACTGGCGGTCTGGCGGGGATACTCTTTTCTACTTCGTCCATCAGCTGCTTGAATTGCCGGGTCCTCGCAGGGTCCGCCATTCTTTGGCGGAGCTCCTCGTGGTTAACTACCCCGCCCCGTTGTTGCTGCATCTTGTTATTAGAGGCGTCTTGGGCCTTCAATAACTGTGCCTTGTACTGAGCATGCTGGGCTGGGGTAAGTTTCGACATTTGC